TGGTGCTCCCAGCTCAGGCCCTGATGAAGTCACCGGGACAGCTGGATGGGTGTGAGGACAGCGGTGGAAATAGATTTCCCACCTGTGCACTGTGCCTCTGAGCGAGGTGCGGATGAGCAAAGTGACAGGCACTTTGCAGGCGCTGGGGGGCAACCCTCAGCATACCACGCTGCCTAGGAGCCCCTCCTGCAGGAAGCCCTCCGGGATTGCCTTGGTCCTCTGGGGTCTCCCTGGACTCCGTTGAGGGTGGGGGTCTCAGGGAAATGGTGAGCAGGGAGGCTGGCCAGCCCTGGCCATGGTGGGGAAAGGCAGTCAGAGAGGATGGCAGGAGTGCTCCAAGGGTGTGGGGAAGTCTTGGACCGTGACTCATGCGGGTCTGGGTTCGAATCCTGACTCAGATTCCCACCTGCTTTGTGGATAAGTCTGCTGCTCTTTCTGGGCCCTGCTTTCTTGGCCGCAAATTGAGGTGAGAACTCTCATTTGATTGTTTAACATTTAGTGAGCACCTACTGTGTGCATGGCCCTGTTTTGGGCACCAGGGACATAGCAGGAACAAGGTAGACTCTGCCCTCCCCTCCTAGGGCTCTTAGTCCAGTGGGGGCCACAGACATGTCACTGGGCGGTTAAAATACAGGGTGATTATGGCTGTGGTGGGGGGCACAGGAGCAGCTCTGGTTTTTAGAGGCAGGGGCTGTATTCCTCCCGTCCCCAGCTACACCCTCAGCCAGTACAGGACGTGGCACACAGTAGGTACTCATTTTACAGATGAGGAAGTTGAGGCTCAGAGAGTGCAAGCAACCTGTCTGGAGTCACACAACTGGTAACTGGTAGAGCAGGGATTTGTATCCATCTAGTGAATGTTCGTTGAATGAATAAGTGATGGTGGGTTGATGGTGGGGCTCTACTTCTACTGGAACTCTTTTGCGGCTTTCTTTCTGGTTGGGATTAAGTCTCAGGTCTTGAATTTCACGGCCCCTGAGGATCCTCCAACTCAAATCCCACTCCTCTCCCACCCATCCTGTTCTCACCAGCCCAGACTGCAAAACTTCTATTCAGCCATTAAAACCCCAGCTCCAATGCCCCCTCGTCCATGCAGCCCACCTGGACTCTCACAGGTAAACTCTCCCTCCCTTCTGCTCCCTGAGCTACGGGGACTCCCTTTCTGGGGAGGGTCTGCATCAAATTCTGCCTCCCCCCACCCAGATTGGGAGCCCCTTGAAACCCAGAACTGCAGGATGAGGCTACTCTGGGTCCCTGATCTCCCAGCATAAGGCTGGTGCACAAAAGGGGAGGAGAGTTTAGGGCGTGAACATGAAATGTATAAATAGAATTGTAAGGTGTTTTATTCTGGAGTTCTGTGGAGCTTTGAAATTTTTTCCCTGCCTCCTATGAAGTGTTATGAAAGAGATGTCCTTGCCTAGACCCAGAGGTTACAAGAGCTAGAAAGTCCAGGGGCTTCAGGCACAGCTTGATCAAGGGGCCTCAGAATTCAGTCTCCCTCCAGGACTCAGCTCTGTTGTCCTCCCTTGGTGTTGAAAGAATCCACCTCTCTCTCATACTGGCCCTTGGCAGAACCCCAGCTGATAATTCCCCAGCTTAGGGCATCCTTCTCTGTGGTTCTAGAACAAGCCCTACCTAGGGCGGGCTCTCATGGGTCCACCTTGGGCCGTGTGCTGTAGCAATTGCTCTGGGAACGCAGGAGCCACAGCTCCCTGCTTTGGGGCTTCCTCTCTGACCAGCGCTGACATTCCCGGGAGCAGCCCTGCCCCATGCGAGTTGAAAGTTGGGGGATAAATACCCCAGCCCCCCTGCTCTCTGGGTGGGGCCACTCTGCCTCCCAGAGCTTCCCGGGGAGATGGAGTCCTAGTCGTCCCAGGTCAGGACAGCTGCCCTCCCGGGTGGGGTCAGGTGCCTACTCCGGGCTCCCAGAGCTGCCTGTCTGTCCCCATCTCGGCTGAGCACGGTGGCCTTGAAGTTTTGCAAATCCCTGCGCCAGATGAAGTTTCCCGAGGCAGCAGCGATCGCGCTGCCCCCTCCCCAAGCACACGCACCCGCACCCTCCCGCGGGAACACGCGCGCCATGTGTCGCCCCAGACGCCCGCCTCCCACACGCAGGCGGCCGGCTGGCGACTCCGCGGCTGACACAGCACACTCCCCGTCCCCGGCTCCTTCCCCCTGCAGCAGGGGCAACGGGGGAGGTGGCGGGCAGAGGCATTGGTTTGGTGGGGGGAAGGGAATGTGCCCGGACCCTAAGCCTGGAACCCCTGACTCAGGGGAGGGGGAGGGGGAGGGGAGGATGAATGACAGCCCCGCCCCCTCCCCGTGCCCTTGGGAAGGTTCGGTGAGATCCCCCCACAACCCGCCCCCGGCCTGGCCCTGGGTTGGGGGGGCCCCTACAAGGTTCGCTCCCTCCTCCCTGCCACCCACCCCCTTTCTCTGGGGGCCTTGGGAAGGGTCTTGCGGGGACAGACGGATGGGCTGGGGACAGATGGATTGCGGGCACGTGGCAGCGAGTGGGGCGTGGGGGGAGGGGACTGTGTTCTGGCCTCCAAGACCAGCCCCCCCAAAGAAGGTGCCGAGCCCAGGAGGAGGGGCTCTCGGGGGCTCCCGGAGAATGAGCTGCCCCCGCCCAGGCCCCCCCAGCCGCGGTCCGCTCGCGCAGGAGCGAGGCAGAGGCCCAGAGAAGGGGGTTGCTCGCTGCGGGTCACACAGCCCGGCGGGGGATACCAGGCCTGGTTTCGGGGTGCTGGGGACGCTGGTGGGTCCAGAGGCTGGGGTGGCTTGGGCCCCCGGGGACCCTGCCCCGCACGCAGATCCCGCCCGCCCAGGCGACCCGGTTCCCGGGAAGCGCAGCGCCGCCGGCCCGGGCTGTGGGCAGAGCGCGCCCCCTGCCGGGCACGGTCGGAACCGGCGCGGCCGCGACCCCGGACTCCGGACCGAGCCCCAACCTGGAGGGCTGGGCTGTACCCGGGACAGAGCCCCCAACTCTGGGGCCCCTAGCTAAGTCCCCACTCCAGGTAAAGCCCCCAACTGAGCCCCCACTCCAGCTAAAGCTCCACCCAGCTGAGCCCCAGTCTCGGCTGAGACCCGGATCCCCGGCTGAACCCCGACCTGGGTCAAGCATGAACCTGAGCTGAGCCCCCAACCCTGGGTAGCGCCATGATCCTACTCTGAACCCCCAAAACAGAGCCGAGCCTTGACCCTGAGTTGAGCCTCTGTTCCAATAGAGTCCCCGTCTGGCTGGTCCCTCACCCCAATAAAGCCCCCAAGTCAGGGCTGAGCCTCTGTCCAAGCTGAGGCCTGACCCTGGATAGAGCCCATGACCTCTAGCTGAACTCCCGCCCTGGGCTGTACCCCAGCCCCGCAGAGCCCCGACTGTGGCGGAGCCTCGTCCCTTTTCATGGCCGAGTGATATTTCAAGTGTGGATGGACCAGGTTGTGTTTATCCACTCACCTGTGGATGGACACCTGGGTTGTTTCTACCATTTGGTTATTGTAAATCATTTGGTTATTGTAAATAATGCTCTTACGAACATGGATGGACAAAAGTTTCTTTTAGTCTCTGCTCTCCTTTCCTTTGGGTAGATACCTGGGAGTGGGATTCCAGGGTCCTATGGCAATTCTATGTTTAGCTTTTTAGGAGAGACGGGGTCTCGCTCTTGCTCAGGCTGGTCTCGAACTCCTGACCTCAAGCGATCCTCCCGCCTCGGCCTCCCAGAGTGCTGGGATTACAGGCGTGAGCCACCGTGCCCAGCCACCCACGAGCAGGAATTATCGGTCCCCACAGTCAACAGCGAGAGACCTTGGGGTAGACCCAGGGCAGGACCTGGCTGCGGACAGGAGGAGGTGGGAGAGGCTCTGGCTGGGTGCAGGGAACTGCCTCCCAGTCCCGGGTTTGAATCCTGACTCCGCCACTTGTGCCTGTGTGATCTCAGGCAAGTTACTTCCTCTGTCCGGTCCTCCGTTTCCTCCTCCGAAATGAAATACAGACATTTTATTTATTTTTGCCTCGTGAGGCTTGTGCCAGGGTCCACGTGGATCCCCAGGGGGCAGGTCTGGACTCAGCACACGACAGGCGCTCAACAAACAGTTGTTGCCTGGCTTCCCGGAGGAGACAGCCTGGCTACTGTGGCCCGATGGGCCCTAGCTGCAACTGGGACCCGGAGTTGGGGGTGCAGGGAGGAAATGTCGCGCAGGGGAGCTGGGAGCCGCTCCAGGGCCCGGTTCCCAGGACTCACAGCTGCATCCTCTGGGGGGGCCGCAGCTGGCCCTGCTGTCCCACCCACTGGCAGCCAGAAGGCTCCTGTGTGTCCCGCCAGCTCAGTCCCACGGAAATCGAGGCTGGACGTGGGGGGCCCGTCCACCTAGAGCCTGCCTCAAACCTCACCCCAAAGATTTATCTACAACCCCGGGTCAGATTCAGCCCTTCTGGGGGCGCAGGAATCTGCATTTTTTAAGGGACTCCCAGGTGATTCTCATGTGGAAAGTTTCCTGGGCCTCACTTGGAGAAACATGCTTCTGCTCAAATTCCTATTACCCAGGTGGGTAAACTGAGTCCCAGAAGGAGGAAAGGCCCCGTCCGGAGCCACGTGGTCGGTCTGTTTTGCCTTTTGGCGCTCCGGACTCTGTCCGTCAGTGCCTGTGTCTCCCCCTCGGACTTTTAACTTCTTCCTTCTCTTCCCTCTGCCAGCGGCCCCCAGCCGGCCGCGCCCCCGCATCCGGCCGGTCCCGATTCCGGAGGAATCCCCCGTTGAGACGCCTGGCCCCACCCAGGACCCGCCCATTTCCCCGCCCACCGAGGTGATCTGCTCCCATTGGTCTCTTCGTACGTCGCCCGCGCTGCCATTGGCTGAGCCGAGGCGCTCGGCCCGCCTACCTCCGCCCGGCCCCTCTCTGGTTCTTTCCGGGTGGGCGGGGACGGGGTGGGGGCGGAGCCTTGGAGGGGCGGGGAGATGAGGCGGGACCGAGCGCTCAGCCCCACCCCGGCCCGGCCCGGCCCTAGCGCTAGTCCCACCGCGGCGACTGGACGGGTCCCGACGCGCGGACGCACTGACGGCCCCGGACACAGGTGAGCGGTGGTGCGGGGCGCCCCCATCTCAGCGCGTCCCGGGGGCCACCGTGTCACCCTCTGTCTCTCCCGCCCCTCATGCCCGGGTCCACCCAGTCTGTCTTCCTGCCTCAGTTTCCCTCTGTCTCTGTCACGCTCTCGCTGTATAGGCTAGGTGGACACAGACTGGGTCCGAACTGCCCCTGCTGGGGTGGGCCGTGCTCTGGGACTGGCACCCGTCCCTCCATGTGGACTCCGGTGGACTCTGCCCCTTTAACAGAGCAGGGCGGCAGGTGCCCGGGCCAGATCCCAGAATCGGGCGGGGGTTCCAGGTGGCGGGCAGCCCGGCCACCGGGGTGGGAGTATGTGAGGCCGCTGTCTAGTCCGGGAGGCAGGGAGAGCGGGGGCCAGGCCCACCCAGACGGGCCACCAGTGAGCCCCCGAGTGGCCCGAAGCTACGGCCTCAGTGTTGTCAGTAGAGAGCTGGGACCACTGCTGGGGCAGGTGGTCTGACGCAGACCTGTGGCCTCCTAGCCTTTTCTCTGGAGTCTAACCGGGCCCATTTCCTGGGAAGGTAAACTGAGGCCCAGAAGGGAGGTAGCGCTTGTCCAGAGAGGCGAGGACAGAGGCAGGACCGAATCTGCTCCCACTTTGGAGCCAACATCGGTCAGCACCTCCTCTGTGCTGTGTGTGTCCGGGCGGGAGGAGGGGCTGTGCGCAGGCCTTCCAGGTTATTTTCTGAGCCTGTCCCAGCTCAGCGGGGGCGGAGAGTGCCCGGGGATGGGGTGAAGGCAGTTCAGCGCAGTGGTTGGGCAGCTCAGACACACCTGGGTTCGAGTTCTGCCAACCGCTGTGGTGCCTCGATCAAGTGACTCTTCTGAGCCTCAGTTTCCCCATCTGTAAAATGGGAGGGAATATAACTCCCTGGGTTGAGGGCTGGGGGGATTAAATGCAGAAATATGGACAGTGCGTATCACCCCCTGCCAACTCTGCTCAGCCTCGGGGGTCTCCTCCTGTTCCTCCAACACTCCAGCCACGGGCCTGCCTCGGGGCCTTTGCACAGACTGTGTCCTGCGCCACTGCGGCAGCGCCGCAGGCGCCAACTTTAAAACATAACAAGCCACCTAGATGGGCCGGGCCACAGACCTGCACAGGCAAGGGAGGGGCGGAGGAGGGGCTGGCCCAGGGACGCGGTACCTATGGAAACAGTGAACAAAGAGCTGTCCCGGTCACACACACACCTGGGCTGGGCTTCTCCCACTTGGCTGCCCAGGCGGATCGGGAACTGGGCAGAGGCTGGGGCGGCCTGGGATGCCAGAACTGGGTGAGTGCCTGGACTCCTGGGGGGCGTGGGAGGGGCTCCAGCCCTGCTCTGATGTGGGGGTCAGGGAGTCCCTAAGCGAACAGACTAATCAGGCAGACGCCTATTGGAGGCCCGTGGTGTCCCCCTCCCGCTGCATGCCTGGTCAGGTGCCCCCTGAACCCCAGTTTCCTCACCTCACTTTCCCCAAGAGTCAGCTGCCGTGAGCGAGGGGCCTTTTGGTTGCTTGACACTTTGACGTGGTGGGTTCAGGAGGCCTCAGTGTTCCTGTCTGTCAAATGGGCCGACAGAAGGTGCCTTGAGGACAAACTCCAGCCGTTGCAGGGAAATGGCCCCGCCCAGAGAGAGGTGGATGCTAAATGATGACTCACACCTGCCCAGGTGCGGCCCCAGGTGCTGCAAGTGGAGGCCGGGGGAGGGGCAGGATGGGCCCAGTTACTCCGAGTGCCCGCCCCCTCCCCTGCATCCTCTTGACAGACGCCCTCCCTGGAACTCCACCCGCCTGAGCGTTCCCGAGGGCACCTCTGGCAGGGTTCCAGGGACCTTCTAAGGCCCTGGTGTCCAGGCCTCAGTTTCCCCATCTCTCCAACGGGACTGGTCATCTCCCTTTTCTTCTGGAAAGGGGCTGAGCTACCCGGGGGCAAGAAGCGTACTCTGTAGGGTAGGGAGGATCCCGCAGGTCTTTACTGAAGGCCTCTTGGGCACCATGAAAGGGGTTACAGGACATGTTGCTTCTAGAAGCTTCCTAAAAGCTTAGACTCTTTCCCTTCATGGGGGGCTCTCAGGGAGGGGAGAGTTGAGCCTCAGATTAGAGGAAAGGCTCACCATGGGTTCAGGGCTGAGTTCGAATCCTGATTCTGCCACATCATTGCTCTGTAAATTAGGCAAGCTCCTGGCCTCCTCTGACTCAGTTTCCCCTTCTGTAATAACTGAAAACTTGCAGGTCCATCAAGAGAATTTGGCAATGAAGCCCTGGAGGTAAAATGCCTAGTAGGTAGTGAGCGTTCCCTGCAAGGTTGCTGCAACACGCGACCTTGTGGTTGAGGTTGGGGAGTATCTGAGCCCCCTTCTTCCCAGGCAGGGCTGGCGTGGAGGGGTTTGTGCTGTGCTACTCACTGTGTAAACTTGGTGTATTTCTGTTTGTCTCTCAGCCTCAGTCTCCTCGGCTGGACAATGGGGCCTTTGGATGAGATCTCTGACATTGTGCCTCTCTGGTGCTGGGAGGTCATTTATTCATTCAACAAACAGGTTCTGAGCCCCTACTGTGAGCCAAGCCCGGCGCATGGCACCGAGGACCCAGCAATGACGAAAGCTGATCTGGTGCCGACCCTCACTTGGCTCCCAGACGGGTTGGGAGAGATGGACCTTGTTCATCTAGAAAAATCCTTGTGCTTGGTTGTAATTGCATGAAGGTGATGGAGGAACAGACAGATGGGGAGGTTAGTTTAGATGGGGGATCTGGGAGGGCCTCCTGAGGAGGAGGCATGTGAGCCCACGCTGGGATGAAAAGAAAGAAACAGCCACGTGGGGACCTGGGGAAGAGCGTCCAAGACAGCGGGCACAGCCCGTGCAAAGGCCCTGGGGCAGGACTGCACCTAGTGTGTCCGAGGCACAGCAAGGAGGCCCGTGTGGCTGGAGCAGAGTTAGGAGGGGGAGAGAGGAAGGAGGGAAGGGTGGGGAGGGGACAGGGCAGGTCATGCAGGGCCTGGTGGGCTGTAGAGAGGACTTGGGCTTTGACCCTGAGGAAGGTGGGAGCCATGGAGGGCTGTGGGCAGAGGAGGGATGGGCCCTGACTCGGGTGCTCACAGGTGCCCTCTGGCTTTTTGGGGGGAATAGACTCGGGGGTGAGGGCAGGAGCCGGGGGACCAGGAAGGAGGCTGTGGAACGGTGAGAAGTGGGTCGCTTTGGGACACCTTTAGGGGCTGTGTCCACACTCCTGCCAGGGTCACCCCCACCTTCTGCTCACTGTTCAACATCTTCTGCTCAGGCTGAGAGCCAGGGCCTCTCCTGGCCTCTGCAGCGCGGAGGACCGTGGGCTCCCAACATCCATTTTTGGTCCCCGAGCCCTCTCTTCGGTGAAAATCTGACTCCGTTGGAAATGTCCCAGCTTCCAGGGCAACCCAGCCGGTGGCCGGACGCTGCCCATCCTTAGGGTGCTCCCTGAGGGCTCTGGGGAACCCAGTTTGAGAACCACAGCTGACACCATACCCCGGGCCAGCAGATTTCCCTCCGTCTTTTGCCGTAACTAAAATGGTCACTGACTTTTTTGAGGCCTGAGTCATGTCCTCATAAAGGGCTTGATGCAGCGGAAGCCCTGGAGTTGGCGGTGGGCACTGTGGGATGGAGGACAGTGGGCGCTTTGGCCGTGGTGGGCGGAGTCCTGAGGCCACCCCGGGCTGCCGCAGCCGGGGAGGAGACGGGAGAGACCGAGCGGCCGGCGTGGCCCTGCCGAGCGCGGCCATCAATTATTGACACCCTTTGTGTGGGGCATGAAGAATTCATGCGACGGGGGCAGGGCCGCCAGGGACCCGGGGCATAACCGGAGCCAGCTCACGGGAGCCACTTGCTGCGTTCCCGGGAATTTTGCCATCCGGTGGTTAAACACAGCCAGCATTTAACACGACAGAATAGAAACTTACAGTTAAATGAACGACGCTTAAAAATGCAGGTGTGGACTTAGCCATGAAAAGGCGCGAAGCAGTGAGTGATTCATCCTCTGCAGCGTGGACGGGCCTTGAGGACATCGTGCTTGGTGACAGAAGCCAGACACAGAGGGACATGCAGTGTGTGACTCCTTTTATAGGAAATATCCAGAACAGGCCTCATGTCTAGCCTGGGAAGCATAAGTCGTGAATCAACAGGCTGATACAATTAATTGTCAAAAATCAACAAGGAAATTAAAAAATTAGCCGGGCATCGTGGCACGCCCCTGTGGTCCCAGCTACTCGGGAGGCTGAGGCAGGAGGATCGCTTGAGCGCAGGAGTTGGAGGCTGCGGTGAGCTATGATGACGTCACTGCACTCCAGCCTGGGTGACAGAGCGAGACTCTGTCTCTTAAAAAAGTAAAATAAAAAAGGAAGGAAATGGAGTGGCCTGGGTCAGGGCCACCCCTCTGAGCAGGGCCCTTCTGCAGGGGAAGATGCTACGTCTGGAACAACCCTGAGGTTCGAGGTCAGTGTCTGTGGCCAGTTTACAGGGCCTCTGGGAGCTGGAGTGTCCAAATTGGGGACAGGGACAAGGTTCAGAGTCCAAAAGATGAAGTGGCGTTGGCAGTGGGCAAAAGTCTGAGGTGTGCCCAGGGTCAAGCGTTCTGGGGAAGAATGTGTGGACAGGACAGGGGTTGACAGAGCTAGGGAGTCTGCGCCTGGACACCCATTTTACAGATTGAAAAGCTGTCCCTAGGACTTGCTTGGGGTCCTGGTGGGGAGACCCCAGAGCTGTGGGAGGAGCCTCCCCATTTGGGAGGACAGGGCTGTGGTCGAGGCTGTGGACAGGGCTGAGGCTTCCTCACTGTTCCTCCGCCGCGCCTGACACGGTCCTGCCTCAGGGCCTTTGCACGGCTGTTACCTCTGCCTGGAGCCCTCCTGAAGACCTTATCATTCCTCCTGGAGACTTTTTCATTCCAGTCCCAGCTCCGACCCTCACCGGTCCCACCAAGGACCTTATCCCTGTCCTTGAAATGAACCTGTTCATTTCTGTT